TTTGGATAGAGGAAGCCTTATGCCAACCTCCTCAGGTCCCTACACACATGGTTTGGGATGAAGCAAGATTGTATCTTGTATGTACAAGGAAGGTGTGTCAAAGAAACAAGAGTCTATTGAAACCACTAACAATACCATCGGGTCCAGGTGATTCCGTATTTATGGACTTTATGGACACCAAGGTCAAGAGTAGAAATGGCAAGAGTCAGGTTATGGTGGTTGTTGATAGATTTAGTAAATTTGTTGTTCTTATTCCGCAGCCAGATGAGGCAAAGACAGACTTAGTTATTCATGAGTTTTTTATCATTGGGTCAAAGACCATGTACATCCCCTAACTACAATTAGTGATAGGGATACCAGATTCACGGGCGAGCATTGGCAACAGCTACTGAAAGCCTACGGGTCTAAGCTCACAATATCATCAGGTGGACACCCCGAGACTAACGGACAGATAGAACAGATGAACAAATTGCTACAGCATGTGCTTTGGATGTACATTAGACCGCATCAGATAGATTGGGACTACATCTGCCTAAGGTAGCTAGTGCCTATAACAACTCGGTGCATCTATCTACTTCTCTTACATACGTATTTTATGGAGTGGGTCCCTGGAGACACTCTCAACCAGGCCTAACCTGTCCTCGCAGTGTCCCTTTTCCTCTGACTGGCATTTTCCGTTTTCGTTATGGGTTTCGATTGCTTTTGTTCCAAAGACGGCAGGTTGAAATCTGTGCAGGGCGAAGTTCTCTTTGATTCATATTGAATCTAACTCCACCAGCTTAGTCCAGCCGATCCTAGACTCCTCGCAGATGCTTGAATACAAGTACATAGCGGTCCACTGGGCCATGACAAAAAGCATCTAATAGGAATCACGTCCAGAGCGGGATGGATTCCAGGTTTTTTTCAGCAGATCATTTTTGAATCTTCGTGCTGTTTCATCGCACAGCATATACTCACACCGGAACTTTTCCTACTAGCTTTGGACGTGATCGCAGTCAGATTCCCAGGTTCGGCCATAATTGCAGGCAGACAGTCCCAACCTTTTTGCTTTTTTGGGAAGATCAGTCCCAGCCTTTTTGCTTTTTTGGGAAGATCAGTCCCAGCCTTTTTGCTTTTTTGGGAAGATCCTCTCGTCGATTTGCATATGTTCGAATTCTGATTTGTCATGTTGTGAGCATCTGAAGCGTGGCTCTACCTGGGCGGCTTCCGAGGGGTCTGATCTGCACATGTTTGAATACAAGCACATAGCAGGGCCGTCTGCATAGGAAGAGGACACTTGATTGTTGGGCAGCGGTCAGGGGATCAACGCCTGATGTAGGACAGCCCAAAAATAAGAGAGCGGCCTCAGGTGATTCATAAACATATTAGGGTCAACGAACAGGAAAAACGGAAAATCTTAGGATGTACAGACCGCCATTACGTCCAGAAATAAGTCAAAACGTCCCAGTGTGAGTATGACTTTGTTCTGTTCGCACGATTGCATCTGGTTTCAAACTTGTCTGTATTTCAAGGGTTCATGGATGTATGTCTTGAGCTATAGGCCCCGTTGGTTTTCTCTTTTTACTCCTAATGAGTTGCACAAGGGGTGTGCTGTATGTCTGTTGTGTTGTGTTGTTTTCGTGTTTTGATCACCACGGGACTTGATCCCATAACCTGCAATTTGTATGTTTTGTTTGCTAGTTTGAGCCCTATTGAGCTCAATCCCTGAGTCTGTCACCCGTGGTCTCTGTGTGGTAGTCTTAGGCCATTCGGCCTTTTCTTATGCCTTGTCTTAGGTCTAGGTCCCCTTTTCCCGGATTTCCATCCCGATACAGTTGAGTTTTGGGCTGTTGCCTGGGGAATCCCTCCTAGGTCTAGAATGTGAGTCTAGAAGTAGCGGGAGGAAAATGGTGTCGGGCCTTTTCACGTTTTCGTTGGCTGGGGAAACTCTGCCCGTCCATTGTTGGAGGGCTGCTGCTCTATTTTGGGCGAGGTCGTCCAGTTGAAGCGTCACAGCCCGGTAGAATCTGGTACCGAAGCATCACAGGTCGGTAGAGGCCTGCAGGTCCAAACAAGTCAAGTCAAGTCCCAAAGTCCAATTTTGCAGCAGCATCCAAGATACGGCTGGAGTCCCTCAGGACCTGTCTCTTATACACATCTAGATGTGTATAAGAGACAGGCTCTATTTTGGGCGAGGTCGTCCAGTTGAAGCGTCACAGCCCGGTAGAATCTGGTACCGAAGCATCACAGGTCGGTAGAGGCCTGCAGGTCCAAACAAGTCAAGTCAAGTCCCAAAGTCCAATTTTGCAGCAGCATCCAAGATACGGCTGGAGTCCCTCAGGACAGATCCAGAAAATGCAGCCGACAGGCCAAGGCGACCGTTACCAGAACGAAACAGGCCGCGAGCAAGTCAAGCATTCTATTTATAGCTGCTGCTAGTGGCTTCTATTTATAGTTGCTAGTGGCCACGCTCAACAGTTGTTCATTTTGCAAGTTGCAGATGTGGTGCTGGATGCTTGTGCGATAGGTAACTTGGGTGACGTGAGCCGAAGGTGGAAGACAAACACTGACCTGATCCATAGCTAGGGTTGGAGGAAGGAGGTGAGTGGCCATAGCCGCCAAGGTTGAAGGCGAAGTCCGGCGCCGTATTCAGGGTAGATCCTAGTGAGGTAGAGAAAGAGAGCAGCCACGCTGAGCGGTAGAAGAGTTGAGAGTGAGAGAAGAGAGACAGAGAGGGAGAGCCAGCCGTCAGGAAAGAGGGGAGGTCGGTTACTTACCTGAGTGGTGTTGGGATTGTTGGGCACAGCTCATGCCGCTGGGTTACTCTAACAATTGTGAGGATCGAGCCCTCAAGTAGGGGCCTTGCCATGACGTACATGTTCTGGGCTAAGGCCCCGGAACGCCTAGTGCCTGCCCTAAGTGAAGGCGGGCCAGCAAATCAACAAGAGCCCTCTCGGCCAACATTTCACGAAGTGGGGTCTATACAGTTGCAGCACGCAAGTTGGTTGGAGTGCACCGAGCATGCTGGGTAGAGAGGCCGAAATGCCAAAGGGAAAATCGGCCCACTACCTGAATCTGGCAGCAGGCCTTGAGAAGAAAGGCGCAACTGCATTGCTCCGGGGCCCAACTGTATCAGGAAGGCTTCAGCCTCTGGGTCCCGGTCGCAGGCTGAAGGGAGGCCGCCCACATGCTGCATTGGCATATAGGCAAGCAGGGCGAGGCAGCAAGAATCTTGGCCAATCCTGGCATATGCGGGCACGCTGCGCAGATGCAAGTGTGCAGCGCTATGCAGAGCAGCGCTGSRCTAAGACAGGGCAGGCCAGCGCTAGGCGGTAGGGCGCTGCCTGCGTGCAGGGCACTGGCGGCCATAGCCGGGCCGCATGAGGGTGCAGGGGAGGTGAGAGCGAAGGTGGTACTTCGGAGGTGAAGGGCGCTGTGTGGGTAACAAGGGAGAGTGTGGGGAAGAGGACACGTACCTGGTGATGGTGGAGGTC